CCGCGCCGCAGAGGGGAGGGGAGGGGGCGGCGGGGAGGGCGCGCCCCCCGCGCTGCGCCCCGCCACCCTCCCCGCGGGCGGGCGCGGAACTGCCGGCAAACTTTGTGCCCCGGGAAGTTTGCGGAGGGGAGCGGCCGTCCCCCCGGCCCGGCCGGCGGGCTGGAGCGGCAGCCCGGTGCCCCGGTCAGCGCACGGCCACGCAGCGTGTCATTTCTCACGCGCGCTCGCAGATCTCGAATGACTGCCAAGCCCCGCGTACGCTATGGTTTTTTTCAGACGCGTGAGGTGCTGCAGATTTCAGGCACATTCAGGCGAAATAGAGCCAGCTGAACCGTGGATGGTACACAAGTTCTCGGCATTCACTAGAAGTTCTTTCCCTACATTTGCCCTTTGCAGGTGCCAGAGCTCAGGAGGCGCATGGCACCTGTCCGGGCATCTGTCCGGGCATCTGTCCGGCAGGCCACGCTAACCCCACACCTGAAGTGCCAACATTAAAAGGCATCTCTGAACAAGCTGCTGATGTACAGGTACTGCACGCAAACACACCACAGTTCCTTAAAGAATTTCAGCAAACTATAAAAAAAACCCCAGCCAATCCCACCTGCCTTCCCCGGACTTCTTGCAAGCACAAAAAGGGCCTATATTCACTGAATAAATGATGAATATCAAGTTCTTCATCCAGCCCCTCTTGGTACTCCAGAGAGAGCGCTGGTACTTACAGAGCAACTGCTGCAGCCTGGTGCTGCCAGCCTGGGCACTAAGCAGTTAAGAAATGGATGTTTCTGCCAAGAAAATAATTTTAACCATTTGTAAATTACAGAAAAAGAAGGGAAAATCGCACTGTTTCATTGGTTTTATATGTAAGTAAATGAAGGATTTATTTGCAGACTGAAGTTTTATTTCCTTCTGCTCCAAGCTGAATTCAAGCTCGGGGTACTCAACTCTACAGAATTACCCAAGGGAGAGGACTGCAGGAACCTCTTCTCAGGAGCAGCAGGACAAGGTGGATTTGAGCAGCGGGGCTCAGCAAGGCCAGCAGCCTCGTGGCCAATGCTCCATCAAGCGAGAGTGACTGGTACAGATGAGGGACAGTTTTGGTCAATCAGGTAGGTTGCAGATCTGCAAGAAGTCGTGCCCCTGGCATTTATGTTATGGATTTGTACGCTTCATTTGGAAGCAGTATAGTTTATCAGGCTAATTAGCTGCTTCTAACCATACGATATGCATCTTAAAATACCCCCGAACATGGATTTACATAATAAAGCATAACCTCCCAACAAGCTAGCATCATCCTTTATGACAGTTCTGCTGCCTTTTTCAAAGTCTTTTTCTGTTTTGATACATTTTAACACAAACTTATGGGGCGGGGGGGGAAATACAAATGAGGGGAAACAGTGTTTCAGTAATGTCACAAAGTGACAAAAAACAAGAGCTTTTCCTGTTGAGGTTCATTCCCTACCACTTTTCTCCCAAATTAGTTGTCAAAAGCCATATGCAATACTCCAAACACTGAGGACGTTTTTCAAACACAGACTTCTCCTGAACTCCAAACTTCCTTTAATCACAACCTGTGTCTCGCTTAAGCAATCCTTTCCAAGTTCATTCATTACTCTTGAAGGAGTTACATTTTTAATAAGCTAAAAGAGGAAAAGGGGAAAACTCTGATAATCTTTTCTCATGCATAAGGAAGACCATTTCATGTATTTTTTAATTGTCATGTGAATTAAATTGCAGTGCTATATTTAACCTTTCTACTCTAGCCTGTAAAGCTGTACACTTTTTTGGTGCTGGGGAAGAAGCGTGGTATCCAGTTCAGATGTTTGGGGTTTTTTTTTATTTTCTGAAACCTTTTTTTTTAGTAGAGTTTGGGGACTTTTGTTTGTTTGTTTGTTTGAGGGTTTTGTTGTTTGGTTTTATTTTGGGGGGGGGGAGGGGGGTCGTGGGGAAGAGAGGAATTTCGGGATTTTTTTTTGGTTTTGGGTACAAATCTGTTTTATCCTGCATTCTGCCCTCAGCCTGAGAGCTGAGGAGCACTGTTATGTTCAGGAGTCTATCAGTGAGATCGCTACACTTGTCTCATGCTGGACTCCTAGGAAAGCAATTCCAGATTATCCTTTTCACCATAATCTGTGCTTTCATGGGAGGGACAGAAAGTTAAAAATCACAGGCTCTGATTTTTGTTCAGAAACTATTCCTATTTCCTTTTTCTCAGGAATGCAGCTAGAGCAGTGTGTTGTGACATGGAAACATGGGAACTGCCCTGCCTTTGTAAATATTGATGTTGTTTTGAAAAAAAAGTTGCAAAAAGAGAAACTAACTGAAATTCACATTCAGTTCTTGTT